TAATCTAGTACAGCCGTACGGCACATTTGTGGTCAAGGTATTCCTTGTGCTTTGCAAGCTCCGAGACGCCTTGCACGCGGGTGTGTTTTTACCCGTGGCCCTGTCTGTGCCCTGTCGCCATTCCGCGCCCGCCCGGTACGCACCTTGTGATTATCCAGGGAGTCCACGTGGCTGACGATTTGCATGAGGTCCTCGGGGTAGATGTTGCTCACCCTCTCCTGCACAGAGCGAGACAGAACAGATTGTCGAGGTTACAACTTTGAGGGTGTGGGGGAGGAGGGAGAGGAACTGTGCACATTGCCCCTTTTAAGGCCTGCTCTCTATTTAAACTAGTAGATGAGAACAGAGCGTTCTTTGGTTCTTTTAACAAGGAGTCCAAGTCCTTCCTGCGGGCTTGTCGATCCTTTGTTTCGAAGACGCGTACCTTGTAACCCTTACCTCCAGGGTTTCGTAGAAAAAGCGGTGCAGGAGCTCATTAGTATAACTCATTAGCATAACTTATTTGCATATGTCACACACCCTGACATCATGGGAAGTGTGTCAGAAGGCAGCACCAACTGCTCAGGCTCCACTGGACTCTTTTGGATTGCTAGCTATTGGGGGGAGGGGGATGGGACGCGCAGATCTGCCCTCACAGAAGAGGGAGAGCTTGTACCTGAATAAACCTTGGCCTTAAAGGTGCCACTGGATTGTTTTGGATTGCTATCTTGGGGGGGGGGAGCTCTGCAACTTACCCGGCTGCTTCTTGCACCTTGTGGCCTGGGGCTGCTGGGAGCAGGGGGTGGGGCTTGTTGCATGTGCCCACCCCCTGGGCTCTTTACTGCCGGAGCTCCGCTCCTGTGCGCTCCTGCAGGGAATGACCCCTGCTTACCTCTACATGTACTCTCCTTTGACTTGTTTCTGTAGCCGCTTTTGGACTGCGCTCGGATTATTCCTGCAACTTTTTCAGTTCCTGCTTCTGCAAAGGGCAGGAATGGGCCAAAAAGGGATTGCCAGTGGCTAACCAGGAGGCGGGCAGGTGGGCAAAAGTTTCCTTGGTATAGTCCAGGGCAGTGTTCCCTCTAAGCTGAGTGAGTGTGAGCTAGCTCACAGTTTTTCAGCCTCCGGCTCTCACATCTTTGTCTCAGCTCAGGAAGGATGGCTCCAGAGCAAACTAACGTATGCAGTAGCCAAATCGCTCGCTCACAACTTTAATGCCAGGAGTTCACAAAGTAGAATTTTTGCTCACAAGACTGCACAGCTTCGAGGGAGCATTGGTGCAGGGAGTCCCCAAACTTTTTGAGCCTGTGGGCACCTTTGGGATTCTTAGACGGCATGGCGGGCGCTGCCACAAGACAGCTGCCTCAAAATGGCTGCTGCAGAAGGCAGAGCCAGCCACAGAATGGCTGCTGAAGGGTATCTTGGGTCACGTGGGGAAGGTCCTTGTGCTGTGGTGGCAGCTGCTACCTGAGAAACATTTTTTAAAAAAATAAAAATCTGCGCAGCCAATGAAGCCTTCGATGGCCAATCAGGAGCCTCGCTAGGCAAAAGCCCCACCTGTCCCCACCTACTTTCCAAAAACACTCATCTTTGTGTTTTGTGAGCACAGATCAGTAATCACGGAACTCAGTGTGCTTGCTCCAGAGAAATACTGTTCCTTAAACAGTGGGAGCAAGGGCCCAAATGCGGGTACCGGGGAAGATGTCAGCAGGTGTTATGGGACCCCCGACAAAGTTGGGGACCCCCGACAAAGTGGAACAGCTGCACATTCACTTCTGGAGTCTCCAGAGGAGCTTTGGGGGCATCCTCACGCTCAGTGCAGGGGGCTAGTTGAGCCTTTGGGAGAAAATGGACTCTGGGAAACACTGCAACTTCTACTAGCTTCCTCTAGCTCAGGGGTGTCAAACATGTGGCCCGGGGGCCGGATCAGGCCCCTGGAGGGCTTCTATCAGGCCCGCTGTGGAACTGGCTGTCTTCTGCTGCTTCTTTCAGTTCTGCTGCTGCTGCGTCATCGTAGGTTTGCAGCTTACAGCAGACTCAAGATTGCAACAGCACAGACATTTAGATGCAATAATTCAGAGCAAGAGGTATCAGTTATCAGACACTGTTAAATAAACGAAATATTGCAAGAGTGCTGATGTTTTAAGCATAATTTAATTTTGTAAACCCTTTGTGTTTGTGTCCTTTATAAGGTTTATATCTCCGTTACCTGGCATTACATTTTATGGCGCACATGGCCCGGCCCAACAAGGTCTCATTTATGTTGGATCCAGCCCTCATAACAAATGAGTTCAACACCCCTGCTCTAGCTGGTTGCACAGGGCCTAACACTACGGCTGAGACTCCTTCCTCCTCTAGAGGAGTCACCTCTGTAGCTGCTCCGCCCCCTTTGTCCTTCACCCTCTGAAGCTCTAGGGCTGTTTTCCCCAGATATGGGGGTGCGGCTCAAAGGAGGCACAGCCAAAGCAGAGTTTGGCACCACGTCTTCGACTCGAACGCAAGAGGACGGACAGCCGCAGACCCACTCACCAGCTCAATGTGCGTCAGCTGCTGCGCGAGGACCAACGGATCGCAGCAAACGCTCAGGATGTCCTTCTGCGACGACTGCGGCTTGGTTTTCAGGATGGCGCCTTTGTCGGTCACGGGTTGTCGGAACTTCTCCCGGATCTCCTGGTACTGGTTGCGGGCGGAGAGGGTCACCAGCAGGTTCTGGGTCATCTGGCTGATGATTTTCTTGACCGTTCCGTTTTCCTGGTGCATAAGGGAAGAAGGTGGTCTTGGTTGGATTGGTTTGGTGCCACGGTAAAGTCACGATGGCTCAGCTAAGGCAAGCGTCTGTTTTGAGGGATTTCAAAGTGGGATAGAGCGCTTCAACGCCGAACAACTTCATATGCTGACTAAACCCCATATTTTTATCCTGAATGTTGGTGAGCATTTGGTGGACACGCTCATTAAGCATTCTAGATGGCCTAAAGGTAACGGTAAAGGTCTCCCTTTCTCGAAAGCCAGTCGAGTCCGACTCTAGGGTTGCAGTGCTCATCTCCGTTTCAAAGCCGAAGAGCCAGCGCTGTCCGAAGACGTTTCCGTGGTCATGTGGCCAGCATGACTAAACACCAAGGTGCACGGAACGCTGTTACCTTCCCACCGAAGCGGTACCTATTTATCTACTTGCAATTTCTTGCTTTCGAACTGCTCGGTTGGCAGGAGCTGGAACTAGAGACGGGAGCTCACTCCGTCATGCAGCAACTCGGGTCTCGAACTGCTGAACTACCGACCTTCCACAGCCTGCAGTTCAGCGTCTTAACCACTTGAGCCACTGCAGTTTATTTGAGACACGTGCTCAAAACAAAGTGTGCAAAAACCAATGGGTTAACCGGGTCATCCCTTGACCTAGGTGGCCCAGGCTGGCCCAATCTTGTAAGCGCTCAGAAGCTATGCAGGATTGGCCCTGGTCAGTAATTAGAATTATAGAATCATAGAGTTCAACATGACCCGGAAGTGAAGTAGGCACATCAGGGTGATGCACTGGTTCTTGGGCAAAACCTCTATGGTAGAAGCTGATTCTACCATAGAGTTTTTGCCCAAACCCCAGAGCATTGCCCCAGAGTCCCCAATGTGCCTACGTCAGTTCCAGGTCACGTTGGAAGTCATGTGAGCATGTTGATGAAATGTGCAATGAAACTCCCAGCTCCCAGTAAGCCCGCCCCCTCAACTGGCCACCCAAAGGGATCTGGCAACCCGACTACTCATAGGGTGACCAAGTATGATAGCCTCAGTTTAGTCATAGAAACACAGAATCATAGAGTTGGAAGGGACCTCCAGGGTCATCTAGTCCAACCCCCTGCACAAGGCAGGAAATTCACAAATACCCCACAACCCCATCTTCCTCATGTTTAGCCGAAAACTCTTCTGATTTAATTTCAACCTTTTTGTTCTGGTCCGACCTTCTGGGGCAAGAGAAAACAACTCCGTACCATCCTCTATATGACAGCCCTTCAAGTACTTGAAGATGGTTATCATATCACCTCTCAGTCATCTCCTCTTCAGGCTAGACATGCCCAGCTCCTTCAACCTTTCCTCATAGGACTTGGTCTCCAGACCCCTCACCATCTTCGTTGCCCTCCTCTGGACATCTTCCAGCTTGTCTGTGTCCTTAAATTGTGGTGGCCAAAATTGGATGGGAGACCACCAAGGAAGTCCAGGGTCCGTACACAGAGGCAGGCAATGGCAAACCGCCTCTGAAAATCCCATGCCCAGAAAACCCTGTGGGGTCATCATAAATCATCTGCAACTTGACGGCACTTCCAGTTTGGTGTCGTGGTTAAGTGTGCGGACTCTAATCTGGGAGCACCGGGTTTGATTCCCCACTCCTACCCAGCTCCTTCAACGTTTCCTCATAGGATTCGGTCTCCAGACCCCGCACCATCTCCGTTGCCCTCCTCTGGACGTGTTCCAGCTTGTCTATATCCTCCTTAAATTGTGGTGCCCAAAATTGGATGGGAGGCCACCAAGGAAGTCCAGGGTCCGTACACAGAGGCAGGCAATGGCAAACCGCCTCTGAAAATCTCATGCCCGGAAAACCCTGTGGGGTCATCATAAATCATCTGCAACTTGACGGCACTTCCCACCACCAGCGGCTGGCAGATGGAGGTTTATGGCTGCTTTCCCAGTGTAGCCCTGACTGAACTCCTCCCATCTTGGCTAGTGTCGTGATGAGGTCATCTTCGGAGGCCCTGCTTTGATTGTTCCCACCATCTGAGCTTAGACGCGTGCAACCCGAGAAAGGGCCTTCTTGGTTGCTGCACCAGAACTTTGGAACTATGTCCCCAGCAAGGGGTCATTTCGTAGAAAAAGAGGTGCAGGAGCTCATTAGCACAACTCATTAGCATAACTCATTTGCATACGCCACACCCCCTGACATCACCGGAAGTGTGTCAGAAGGCAACACCCACCGCTCAGGCTCCACTGGACTGTTTTGGATTGCTAGCTATTGGGAAAGTGCAGATCTGTCCTCGTAGAGGAGGGAGAGCTTGTACCTGAATAAAACTTGGTCTTAAAGGTGCCACTGGACTGTTTGGGGCGGGGGGTCCGGGGGGCTCTGCAAGTTACCTGACTGCTTCTTGCTCTGATTGGGGGCTGCTGGGAGCAGGGGGTGGGGCTTGTTGCATGTGCCCACCGCTTGGGCTCTTTACTGCCGGAGCTCCGCTCCTGTGTGCTCCTGCAGGAAATGACCCCTGGTCCCCAGGGAGACTGGCCTTTTCTCCCTCTATTTGGTGCCTTCCGCCAGCGGGTGAAGCCCTTTTTTTGTTTTGTTTGGCATACCCCCAAGAACATTTGTTGGCCCTCCTCCCTGGTTCTAGGGCTGCCAGGTCCCCCGGGGGGCGGGGGATTGCCCGCTCTAGAGGACCCCAACCCGCCTGCCCGGATCTGGCTGCTGGGGGAACCCCGCCCCCAAAGCGCCAGAATTGGGCTGATGTGCCCGTGCCCCCACGAAGCTCCCGGACACGGAGCTTCGGACCCCCGCTGGATGCCAGGTAGAAACCTGGCAGCAACCCTACCTGGTTCTGGTGTTGTCTCTGGTGTTTCTGTCGAGCTATTTTACCGTTCTAAATCTTGTTTGCAATAGTTCGAATGTTTCTGTGCGCACAGCCCGATAGGATGGAAAGGCGGCATGAAAACATTTTAAATACATTAAGCCGGCCGAAGAGAGGGTCACGGTTTCCTGGGTCGGCACCGATCCTCCTTGCTGATTGAGATGTCAGTTGGGTGCATTGATCAACACGGACCTCAAACGCGGAGTCGTGGATCCTGGCGCGACGCCTCGCACTGCTTGTGCAGGCATGCCGCACCCCTTGATCTTTCTTTGGCATTCCTAACCGGGTTGAGACTGACAAGGACGTCCTAGGCGTTCTTCCCCCCTGGCTCCTGTGATCTCCGGCGTGCCTTCCATCTTTGCTTACTCAGGCAAAATCCCCGGCCATCTCACAGTATCTCCAGGCCAAATAAATAATGTCAGCATGATGACTTCTAGCACAGGTCTGCTAGCCTGTCTTTTTTGTCATCGAGAAGAGACTGGGGCAGCAGAGAAATCTTTTTCTTTTTATCTGTTATTCTGTTTGGTATGCTGTTGAATCCTGCCAACCTAGCAGTTCGAAAGCAAGAAATTGCAAGTAGATAAATAGGTACCACTTCGGTGGGAAGGTAACAGCATTCCGTGCGCCTTGGTGTTTAGTCATGCTGGCCACATGGCCACGGAAACGTCTTCGGACAGCACTGGCTCTTCGGCTTTGAAACGGAGATGAGCACCGCAACCCTAGAGTCGGATTCGACTGGCTTTCGAGCAGGGGAACCTTTACCTTTACTTTATGCTGTTGAAACACGGAGATCTGAGACCCCAAAAAGTGACAAGTGGAACAGTGAAGAAGAGGAGATTGGATTTATACCCCACCCTTCACTTGGAGTCTCAGAGCGGCTTAGAGTCTCCTTTCCCTTCCCCTCCCCACAACAGATACCCTGTGAGGTAGGTGGGGCTGAGAGAGCTCTGACAGAAACTGCTCTTTTTCAAGAACAGCTCTTGTCAGAACTATGGTTTGCCCAAGGTCATCCAGCAGCTGCATGTGGAGGTGTTGGGGAATCCAACCTGGTTCTCCCAGATCAGAGTCCGCGCATTTAACCACTGCACCAAACAGTGCCGCAGGAGAGAATGGCTTTGCCTCTCACCTTCATCCTGAATATCGGTCAAGGAAGTAAATAATGTGTATTTTGCTGTAAATAATAAAATGTGTATTCTGCGGTAAACAGCTCTGCTGTCAGACAGAAACTGGACAGGCTTCTCTTGGCGAGACCTTCCACATCTGAGTCTCGGCTGCTGCTCTCCAGCCTTTGGCTAGCGAAACACCCACACCCCACCGCTCGGGTCCTTTCCCTCCCTTTCCCTTTCCTGAGGCTGCAGGCTTCGCCACATGTACCAGGAAGTGCAGCTCAGAGCTCAGCTGAGCAATAGAGACGTTTAGGAAGGTTAAGACGTCAGACTGCAGACCGGAAGCCCGGTAGTTCGACAGTTCGAGACCCGAGTGCCGCATGACGGAGTGAGCTCCTGTCTCTGGCCCCAGCTCCTGCCAACCTAGCAGTTCTAAAGCAAGAAATTGCAAGTAGATAAATAGGGACCGCTTCGATGAGAAGGTAACAGCGTTCTGTGCGCCTCAGCGTTTAGTCATGCTGGCCACATGACCACAGAGAAGTCTTCGGACAGCGCTGGCTCTTCAGCTTGGAAACGGAGATGAGCACTGCCCCCTAGAGTCGGATTTGACTAGCTTTTGAGCAAGGGAAACCTTTACCTTAACAACACTGCAGGAAGCTCTTTGCGTCGCCTCCTTGTTTATTCATGCTTAGTTTTCTAGTCTGAAAGTCTGAAAGCAGACTCTTTGACGCCACGTTAAAAAGGTATCTGATGAAGAAAGCTTTGACTCTTGAAAGCTCAAAAAAAAAAAAACCAACCCAAATTAGGGCTGCCATTTCCATGTTGGGAAATACCTGGAAATTTGGGGGAGGAGTCTGAGAAAGGTGGAGTTTGGGGAGGGGAGGAGTTTCAATGGGGTATAATGCCATAGAGTCCACCTTCTAAAGAGTCAATGAAGATACGCTGTGAAGACCTTGGGTTCTGTTATTAGGGAGTCAACATGGAATGTTTCCTTCAAGAGTTGATAAGTAATAATTGATAAGAATTTGTGACTGTTACGTGCTCAGATAAAGCACATATTGTGAAACGAGTTGTTTACATTGCGCAGCATTCGTTCGCATGGGAGCGATAATAGAAGAGACTTTTCTACAGAATGACTACAGTAAATGATTTTGCAACGTATTTTTCTGACTCTCTGTTCATTTTGTCACGGATGTTGTTGTTGGATTTCCTCGACCTCCAGATGAGACCTGGAGAGCTACCGTTATTACAACAGGGATCAGCTCCCTTGGAGAAAATGGCTGCTTTGGAAGTTGGACTCTATGGCATTCTATAACAGTGAGGTCTTCCCCCCAAAAAACCTTGCCTTCCCCAGACCACCCCCCCCAAATCCCCAGGTATTTCACAACCCAGAGCTGGAAGCCCTAAAATCAGTACTGCCCTTGCAGCTCTCCTACACTACTTCAGTTTGGTTTGAAATTGGCCCCAGTGAGGGGAGGGTTCCTTGGAAACTAGGACTTTTCCTAGGGTTAAAGCCACGTCAACATTTCAGAGTGGAGTGAATTCCTCCGTCAGCCATCGCCCGCCAGAGGCAGCGAGGTGCTTGGGAAATG